GGATCAATTGACAGACAATGAGAAAGGAGAGAAGGAGTCATGAGGATGGAGGATCACAAGAGATGCATTGGAAAAGAAGACGAGGAATTGAAGCTATCTTATAATCTAGAGGGCACCATTTGGCGCATTCCTTCTTGACCGTTTGTTCTCGTAAAAAGGAGGGGATGAGGATTTTAGATCGTCCCAGGCAAAACCATGTCAGATGCAAGGTACCTTTTTCGTGTCTTGTCTACTGGAGAGGTACATGAGCCTAGCGCTATTACGGATGCGTCCTGTCATCAAACCAGCAGCTCAGCTCGGTACCAGGGCTGCTGCGAAGTGGTACCTTTACCAACCACGAGACTTGCCTACATAGACGAAATTACATCCAATGGGTGGAGTGCCAAAGTTCCATGGCGAAACGAGCATCACGTATGGGTACAGACATGAGAAAAGATAGCTGTGCCGCATGAAGCTGTCGCGTAGTTTAGGCAGGATACGCGCTCCAAGGGACGAAAAGAGAGAGCTCTGACACGCTTCGGGACATGCAGGGGGGTATGTTGCCTAATTCGCGGCGAGGTCTTTGACACGAAGTCCAGTGACCGCCGTACGGACCCACTGTTTTCTTCCCGCCGTGGACCGCCACTGTCCGCTGTTGCCTGCCTGGTGCACTCCCCATCCTTGACACAAACTCAATTGAGTCGATTCCAACCTCATGGACAACATCCGAGGCCGGCTGCAGCCTGGATCATCCGCAGATCTCGAGTATTTTTTGAGATGAATTTAGCAAAATGAGATGTTGTCTCGAGTTACCAACATGTCAGTCACCGGTTGTCGGGAATAGCTTCGAGGTCATCTGATCTTTGCCACTGTCCTGCCAGGCAGAATCATGGTCTAGGCCTTGCTTTGTGGTTTCTTCATCTTAGAGAGTGAACTTTCAACGGGGCTTTCATCGGTCCTCAATTATGTCTGGGTCACATCGCCGGATTCAAAGTCGTGATCTCAATCATCATTGCCAGGGCCAAGATATGCAGAGGTACTTTGAATATTCAAATTCCTCATGCCGTATGCCGAAGTCATATCCCATATGAGCTTCAAACATTCCGAGACAACAATTGTTCATTCAAACAGAAGAAATCGCCGGGTTTGCAGGCTCGGTCTTCTCAGAGAACGTAAGCTCCGGTATTTGGCCATGAGATTGTTCCGCGAAGTCAGCCATCTTACACGAACTCACTTGATATTCGAATTGCCGGGCCAACAACTCTTGAATACTACTTTTTTGTGATAACCGGCCATTGTACCCCTCATAGGTCTGAGTGGGTTTTTGATTCCTGGCATTCTAAACCACGCACTACCTATACTAGCACGACTAAGTGGGATAGCTTTCTCGCTACTGCAGCGTGAAGCAATACACGAGCGAAGGCTAAACTATCACTCGTTTGTCTCCGTCTCGAAGGGATAGTGTGAACAGAGCTGAAAGAGTCAACCATCGGCCATAAATTCAAGGTAATGATCTTGCGTTGCTGCAAGAAGGGGGCTGAGATACTCCCCTTACCGGGTATTTGTGTGAGAATGCTCTTCATTATGATTATCAGGCTTCCGCCGCTTCACCGAAATTCCAAAGTACTCCATTGACCTTATGCCAAAGTGATCGCTGCCGCCCTCTCCAAATCAAGTACTCTTACATGTTCCCGACCGTATACACCCATCATCCTGAAGGGCTGCCATCATTCCGTATCGTCGCAGCTAAACCCAGGCACATACTCCATCAAGATCCCAGAGACCTCAAGCAGACGATTGTCCACGTCTCCTCCTATCGGTATTTGCACCGTGCAATGCGCCCTGGGTAATCTGATGCCTTTCTCCACGCCCATGCGGGACTGCAACCGATTCAACCGCGCATTGGCAATCCCATCACACTGAGACTGGCGGATCACCTCCTCCTCGAGCAAGTTGACGGGCTTCTTCTTCTCGTCTTCAGCCTCCCCATCCGCCCAATCTCTCTTGAAATTGTCGTCCTCCTCCTCCTCCTCCTCCTCGCTATCGGATCCCCAGAGGTACTCATTAGCGGCGCCCCGTCGGACATAGTCGACAAACTCCTCCTCAAACTCTGGCGTCCACGCGCCGAGCCCTCGACGTTGCCGCGCCCGTTGGATGCACGGCGAGAAACGACGGTCAAAGAGCTTGAGAACGGCCTTGAACGGCGTGCCGGAGGGCCGCAGGACGGCGACTTCCAGGACGGTCCAGTCGGACGGTTGGAAGACTTGCGCTATCACCATGCGCAGGTTTCCTTCAAAGGGGGCCCGGCCGCCGACGGCGGTGCCGGTGATGATGTTGCCACGATAGTATGGATTTCTTTTTACATAATTTATCAGCAAATTTTAGCCAAGCTTTTTTCGTTAGACATGGGTAGCTCACGGTGAGTATGCCATCTTGAGCCAGTTCACGATGGACCTGTAGAAATCTCCAGCTCCTCGCGCTAAGCCGAGGAAAAACCTCCTGATGGATTCCAAAATGGCCGACATTACTCCCGTCCGAAGCCTCGTAGTGAAAACTGTCCTATGGAAAATACCCGGCCCTTGGCGTGTCGTGTGCTTAATGGTACAATGTGGACAAGATGTAAGAATGGTGTGAGGGCGCAACGTGGGACTAAAGTTGGGATGAAAAAAAAAGTCGCAAAAAGGCACTGGGGCATTGAAGATGTACATGGTGGAGGACCCCTGTCTGATATGCCCGATTGGGTAATTAGCTAGAGCTTGTGTGGAGACCTGCTGCAGAAAGCATTGACGCCAAAGTTGACGCTAGCGGCACGCTTACCGAGATATCCCAGCCCGCCGGGTCATTGGTGAGTCTCGGTGTGGCCGGCGTGGTCTAAGATGGAGTTGAGAGAAGGTTACAAGATGAGCTTCTGAGAGCTCTATACAGACATCCACCGACTAAGCGAAAACACTTGCCAGGGAGAAGTTGTTGGAAGGGTATCTCCTCAAAAACGTCGCACAGACATATCTCATGGAAAACACGCCATCACCTCCCGCATGAAGTTTCATGACACTGCAACGGAAGACCGGCTCCACACACCCGACTTTCCACGTTTCCGGCCCGGAGGAAGGGCAAAAGGGGTCCTTTGTCTAGTACTTTTCGTCCCAACCGACTTGGATGTATTTCGAGAATACCATGTTTGCAAGTGCAATTCCATCCACAACTTTTTCTCCGAGCTTCCTGTTTTTCAGCTTCACGTGTTCCGCAAACGAAGCCCGGTATCCCCCCCATAACGCCTCATAATGCTCCCATATCCAACGTACACACAGTCTCTCTCTCAAAGTATACACAATGAAATTCTTCGCTCCTTTTCGATACCCATGATTCCTGCCTCCCGTGTCTGTAAGATGACGACGTTGAAAATATGACTCAGCACAGCCATCTCGACGCCGCAAACCCAGCGACGAACCCGCCCAGCACAAGCGAGACCCCAATCGCCACCGTGAGACTCTCGCTGACCTCGCGGTCAATCCAGCGCTGCCGAAAGCTGAACTTGCCCAGGCGCATGTGGAACATTTCCTTGACGTCGACTTCGCCCTTCCAGTTGGGCTTCACCCGCATCGACTCGCGTTTGGAGAATTTCCGCTCCACTCTTTTTGTGTTTAATCGCGTCTGGTTAGTTTTCCGTCAGTTCAAATTAAGACAGAAAAGAAAGGGAGAAGAAACATGGAAATAGAAAAGTAGGGGTGAAGGGATCGACGAGCGACAAGCGGAAACTTACACCAGAGACAAGCAGATATCTCCCTTCAACTTGGCCTTGAGCTCCAGATCGACGTCCAGATTCAGCCCAATCTGCAACCTCACAGGCTTCTCATCCCGGTTACCGCCCTGCCGGGGAATCACCACCGTCGTCTGCCTGTTGAAATTCCCGTCATTGCCGTTCTTGTTATCGATGTTGATACTCCCACCGCTGCCATTGAACGCAGACTGATTGTTGCCGTTGCCGTTGCCGTTGCCATTGCTGTTGTGGTTGTTATTGTTACCGTTACCATTCCGGTTGCGGTTCCTCCGCCTCCTCCTCCGGCCCCCAGCTCCGCTGCCCGCACCCGTACCCTCACTCCCGCCCCCGTTCACGCTGACGCCCGAGTCGACGGTCGAGAACCCCGTGCTGGAGTCGCCCGCGCTCGAAGCCGAGTCGTCGGCGCGCAGGCCCAGCTCGGCGAGGATGTCGTTTGCGTCGGGGTTGTAGGTGGATGGGCTTATCGGGGGCGAGGCGTAGCGTCGGTGGTGGGCGTGGGGGTATGTTGTGATGATGCTTCTTGGGGCCATCTTGTGTCTTTTGAGTTGGGTCGGATGATTAGAACGGGGAAGTGTACCGAGGCCCTTGACTCGGTTGGATCTTTGGGTACTCGTGATGTTGGTTGACTCCTGTCTCTCTACGAGGACCTGACCAAGACTGGGTATCGAAATCGCACGCCAAAAAGGCTCTGTCGGAGAGGAAATAAGTCGTAAATCAATATTAATAGTGAACGGAGGCGGTCACTCAGGCAATATGTCTATTATATACCCGTCCAGTTCTTCTCATAACCCAAGCCAAGGGATCCCATGAAACCCCTCGCCACACCCAACAGAACACCAAAAGACCATATTCCCTGAACCCTCGTTTCAACAAACCCACCAAACTACCACATCCACGGCGAAAACACCAAAAAGACCGTCACAAATGGGCCAAACTCGACTTACACGGGCCTCCTCCAACACGGGAGCACCGTCACGTGATGGGTCGATGGTGGAGAAGGACGGGCGAGCATCTCGTACGATGCCGCCAGACCCTGAAACTCGTAAAAGCGACCCCTGGAACAGCCATATCCATGATCCCTTCCCCAGAGTCCAGACTGCCCTCACATTTTATTCTACCTTCCGTTAAACAAACGAACCAGGATGTAATGCCAACGGGATCTTCAACCCATCCTTACCGGGATAACTGAAAGAGACGGTCAAACGCTTCTTCACCGATCAACGACCCCCTATCGTATGTTTGCCAGAATCCCCGTCAAACTCGTCAAAACGCGGGGAGGATCATTCATAGATGCGGAAGACTTAGGTTGGTTGTCCGACCAGTTTGTTCTATTAATCCCTTTCTAGATATATTCATCCGTGATCAATGCAGTGTCGTTCCCTATACGCCGCGCCCAAAACCGCCGCAACTCCATTCATGTTTCTGCAACTGTGAAAAAAAAGTCGTGCCTTTCCTCTTCTCGCATTTGAGACAGAGAATTTCAGCCCCCCTGTAGAGCTTTGACTGTGAATCCTATGTTGTTGAGGATTCTAGAACCTCTTCATCCCATTCTCTTTTCTCCGCATTCATGCGATGGCTTCTCGACCAACGTAGCATAGGAGGGCCCCAGACCGCATTTCGCAAATCTCACACTGCCTGAAGTCGAGGCGTCAGATCCTGCAGGGCTTCTCTCCCAGTAGTTGTTGATGGCTAGCATTACCTTTTCAGCCATCTTCCTCTCTCGTTCGGTAATAAATGGGTTTCCCTCAAGTACTGAGCAGATCCCGAACCGACATCCCCCGCCCGGCACCTCTCGTCGGGTTCACAATACCACCAGCACCACCACCCCCGCCACTCGCTTCCCCAACCGTGCCCCTCCGATCGCTATTCAGCATCAACAACGCAGCCGTCGCCTCGTGGTCCAGATCGCGATCCCGCTGCGGCGCCAGCGCGGGGCTCGTCAGCGCCGAGAGGCTCCCATATCCGCCGCCGTACGTCTGCGGCCCAAACGCGGGTGACGTCGTCGTCGACGTGCTGTAGCTGTAGCTGTTATGGCGCGGGTGGTCCGTCGAGACGGATGAGTAGGAGTCGTGGCGGTGTCTCGAGTCCTGCGGTAAGAGGGCGGGTGATACGGACGGCTGCTGAGAGCGTGTGTGAGGAAGTTGCTGTTGCTGTTGTTGTTGCGGGTATTGCTGCTGCTGTTGCTGCTGCATAGGCGGAAAAGTGGGCGACGGAGCCTCGGAGTCGGTCATCTCCACATCGTCCGGGTCGTCTTGGTATCGCGGCACGAATTGCGGGATCTGGCCCCACGGCTCGGCGCGGCTGCCCCCGCCGGAAGGCGTCTGCAGGCCGGACTCGGTGGGCGAACGGGCCTCGGAGGCGTCGCGCTGGGCTTTGAGCTTGGAGACGCAGTCTTCGAGGTACCTCACGTATTCGATTGAAGCCTGGTCATTTCGTTAGCTTCTACCGGATGAAAATGAGTGGACTTCCCCAACTCACCTGTAAGATTGCCAGCTTGTGCATTTCCCCGGTGCAAGCCGGAATCATGCCCTTGAGCACGGCAAACTCCTCATTCATTTTCGATCTCCGGCGCCGCTCAATCAAGCTGTGCGCCGTCTTCCTCGCAATCTTGCGTCCCGCTGCGCTTGTCGCTGACGGCGCCTTCTTCTTGCCCTGTGTTGTAGAGGTGGAAGAGGACCCGTTCGCCGCTGCCGCCGCCGAGCCGGCCTTACCCGGACCCGCAGCCCCGGACTTGGCACCGGCAGCTGCCGACGGGGCATCCTTATCCTTGGCCTTGGCCTCGGCCTCGGCCTCGTTCTGCTGTTGAGCGCGCGGCTTCATCTGGATAATCTTGCGTGACCTAGTTGGCGGCGGCGGCAGCGCGAAGCTCTCGTTGGAAGCAGCAGCAGCAGCCGTCTTTTGGGCCGCCGAAGAGCGCCGGCGAGACTTTACAGTCTCACTGGGCTGGACCGGGTACGGCTTGTTCGCGTTGACGTGAGGGGGCGAGATGGGCTGGAAGCTGTTGGTGTTGGTGCTGGTGCTGGGCGGCGTCCTCCTCGTGTCTTTTGGGGAGACCCTTGAGGCGTCTTGGACGATTGCTGGCGGTGGCAGTTCAAAAGACAGCTGTAGGGAGGCGAGATCCTTGGAACCGTCTTGGCCCTTTATGTCCGTAGAGGACGCGGGCGTGGGTAATAATGTTGGACGCGGCATTGTGTGCGATGTGCGTTTGTGCGTGTGAGTTGTGAGTGAGAGAGAATAATAATACGAGGGGAAGACGACGGAAGGTATGAGCGTGGCTCTGAGCGATTAACACGAACAGAGATTCCCCAACCGGACGGGAGCTAGATTGAGAACGGGAAGCCGAAGTGTGAGGGAAATTCTCGAGGCTCTACCGCTGAGGGACAAATTCGGTTGACGTTTCTGTTTTTTGAGGCTGTGCCCGCGGGCAAAAGACGACGGTCGGTGTAGCAGCACCAGAGCTGTTCTGGGCTTGGCGACAGATGCAGAAGCGCCCCCGGTTGGATGCGAGGTGTCTACCAGAAGGGATGCAAATCCGATTCGCTGGGCCAGGTTCAGACCTGAACTGGGACTCGAGGGTGAGAGAGGGCACGCGAGTGTTGAGAGTAGAGGTAGTTTCTCATGGAAGAAGAAAGGTTTCGTGGGAGGATGTAGAGGGGGGAAGGGGAGAGGTTGAAGGCAGAAAGAGAGAGAGAGAGAGAGAGAGAGAGAGATAGAGAGAGTAAAGGTAATGAACTACAGATACGGCGCACGACCACCACGACCTTGGACCGACTCTCTCTCACCTTTCTCTCTTTGCCATCCTTGGCCTTGTTCGTCCTTATTGTCTCTCGTGCCTGGTCTCTATCTAACTACAAACCCCGGACCCGTGTATCCGTAGCTGGCACTCTGTCAAGGCACTCGCTCGCCTCAGATAGCCGTCAGCCTCTTAGCAGCCGTCTAGCCACCCACGCCCCCCCTCTTGTTCATAATGGCCGGGGAGGGTGGTGCTTTCTCCCGGCATACTGTCAACAACCCTGATGGAAGTAAAGAAAGAGAGGGAGGGGTGATTTTGCTCAACGAACTAGCTTGGAGAACAGAGGGCACGCGACATCCCCCAAGCCCAGGAAAGAAAAGGGTCCCCCAAAGGGAAAACCCCCGTAAACGCAAGCCGGGGGGAGTAACATGAAGTGGACGCAAGAGATACATACAGGCTGGGGGGGAGAAAAAAAAAAGAATAAGACGAACGAAAAGAGACCAAAGAGCAGAAAGAAGAAGAAGATAGTCCAATCAAGAGGGCGGACCTGGACTCCTGGGCGAGGAAACGGGCAGGAGAGGGCATCGAGGGTTCAATGGCGTCGAGCCAATCAGAGGGCCGGATTCGAGCACATGGTGTTCCTGAATGGCAACTGAGCAACTGCTCCCCCAGCGCCAAGCCGAGCGCCCGCACGCAAGGTTCGCTCTCACACACTCCCCCTTCAGATTTCAGATGAGAATCAGAACCCTCCCTCCAAGACGCACGAGCTCACACTTCCGGTGTACGCAGTAGAGAAGCTGGCTGGTCAAATGAGATCGTCGGTAATTCTCTCCCACAGCTGCCAAGTCCATGCCTACCTCACCTCCCTACGCTACAACCTGTGTATGTCTCTTAGTCCAAGGACAAGAGGCACGAGGGTAGGCGTTGCAGCGGGTCCATGAAGCTTAGTTTCCGATTGCGACTTCGTCTTTGGGGTCGAATTGAGGAATCCAGAGAGAGGCACGAGACATGTGCTCAACGCCCCGTTGGTCGAATGAAAACTCACCGGCTCGGTCTTACACCATTGGCCTTCCTTCATGAGCGAGCCGCGTTTCCGTGTACGAAACGTCCCGGAACCCGTGGGAAATCCCACCTACCCTACCCTTCCCTTCCCCAGCCTCGCGTGCCTGGGCAAAACGTGCCTCTTGTCTGTATCTGTCATTGATGGAGCTGCCTGTCCACGGTGTTTGAGGTTAATTCGCAGAGCTGAAGGAGGGTTTGAGACTACTCGACTCGTACACAGGCATACCGGCACACACACGACCTGCCTACCTTACTTATCCTATAGTACCTACCTTAGTATGCGGTACCGATGACGAACCGGGCCCCTGTCCTCTTGTAAAGTGAGCACGTGGGCAACTCTTTTCCCTCGAGTTGGCCCTTCACGTCTTTTCCACCTCTACGACCACGTGAGTTCGCTCGCTCACTCGCACTCTGTCGATGAACCTCCCACTCTGACTCGGGAGGTATAATATTTCCCGTCGACCTGTTGCACTCGTCGCGGGATATCCCCTTTCGATTTCCATCCTCCGTACCAAACCGATAATTACCTCAGTCTCTTAACCAAATCTGGACAAAATGCAGATGCAGAAAAGAGGCCGCCCACCGCATCTTCTATGAGGGAAATTCCCCCAAACGATGCAAAAGCTACCCTGAGTACCCTTACGTCCCTCTAGGTGAGCCGCATAGCCGCCAGCTACCTCAGGTCGTGATCCGGATTACCTCTTTCTGTCTTGTCTCCATCCCGCGGCCTCCACTCCAATTCTCCATCTTCCTCTCCTTCTCCTTCAAGTGTAGTGAGGTAAGCAGGCATAAACAGGGAAAACCGGGGACATAGAGACTCTATAAAAGAGGAGCCAACCGGCAGCTTTACATGATGGCTATACATACTCCAAGCACCCAACTTGGGGCTAGCGGCCGGAAAACAAACCCTTGACCCGCTACGTGCTATACCGGTACATTGGTGGGGTAAGATCCAGCAAGAAGCTTGGTTCATGTCACCGCCCCTCCACCTCCATCTTTGCGGCGTTCGTTCTGCTCCAACACGCACGTGACGGTTTAGTATAGCCCTTTAGGGACAACATCTCGATTGGATGCCTTTATTGAGCGTCGCGGGTCAAGTTGATAGCACAATTATTCCACTTACACCGACCTGAGAAGCAATCATGCCTAGGCTGGACAATACCAGAGCCACATCACCACACGTCAGGGAAGTTGGACTTGATGCAACCTCGGGTTATTTTATCTCATTTGGATAGGCTAAGTAAAGAGACTCAATCTTGTCATTTTAGACCGTGGAAAATGCTCGTAAATGCTTCACTCATATCGTGACGAGTGTCAAAAGAAACCAGATATCCCATACCATCGCCCAAAAATGACAGAACCGGAAAGGAAAAGACTCCATCACAACGTACAGCTCCTAGGTTGAACGCTCATGCTTCTTCATCATCTCCCCCACAATGACACCATTTTAAACCTCGTTACTCGGGTACGTGACCTTGGTCGTAGCCGCAAACTCCTCCTTGATACTCCTCAAGCTCACAAACCGGCTCAGCAAGTTCTGGCTGCCCGCCTTGTCGTTGGTACCGCTCGCCCGGCCGCCGCCAAACGGCTGCTGGCCCACCACGGCGCCCGTGCTCTTGCAGTTGATGTAAAAGTTGCCCGCCGCGTTGCGCAGCTTCTCCTCCGCCACCACCACCGCGGCGCGGTCCTGCGCGAACACGGCGCCCGTGAGGCCGTACTCGCCCGTGCCGTCAATCAGCTCGCACACGTTGGCAAAGGCGTCCGCTGGTGCCGAGGCGTCGTCGTAGGTGTGGATGACGAGAACGGGACCGAAGAGCTCGGTGCTCAAGAGCTTGTGGTTCGCGTCCGTGGTGTGGTAGATCGTCGGGTGGACAAAGTAGCCCTTTGACGAATCGTACTTGCCGCCCGCAACGAGCTCGAGAGACTTGTCCGACTTGGCATCGTCAATGACGCCCGAGAGCTTCTTGAACGAGGCGTCGTGGATGACGGGACCCATAAAGTTGCCGTGGTCCGTCGGGTCGCCAATCTTGATCTTGTTCACCTCGGCAACAAGACCCTCCTTGAACTGCGGCCACAGCGACTTGGGCACGTACGCTCTCGATGTGGCGCTGCACTTCTGGCCCTGGAATTCGAACGCGCCACGAATGGTCTGCTTTACGGCGTTGTCGACGTCGGCGCTGGGGTGGACGAGGTGGAAGTTCTTGCCGCCCGTCTCACCGACGATGCGGGGGTATGAAGCATATCGGCCCTCGGCGACGCCTTGTCCGATGGCGCCATATAGCTTGCGGAAGATGGCGGTGCTGCCGGTGTAGTGGAGGGACGCGAATTTCTTGTGCGACAGCACCTGATTGGTAATCGCCTCGGGGTTACCGGGCACGAACTGGATAACGTCGCGGGGCAGACCAGCCTCGAGGAGGATGTTGTAAACGAGCCAGTTGGAGGCAATGGCGAAGTCACTCGGCTTCCAGACAACAACGTTGCCGAGCAGCGCGGGGGCGCCAGGGAGGTTACCGGCGATAGCGGTGAAGTTGAAAGGGCTCACGGCGTAGACGAAGCCCTCAAGGGCCCTGTACTCTACGCGGTTCCAGACGCCAGGGCTGTTGTGCTGCGGCTGCTGGGCGTAGAGCTCCTCGGCGTACTGGACGTTGAAGCGCAGGAAATCGGCCAGCTCGGCCGCGGCGTCGATCTCGGCTTGCCACGCGTTCTTGCCCTGGCCGATCATGGTGGCGGCCATGATGTCGTAGCGGTATTTGGTGGCGATGAGGTCGGCGGCCTTGAGGAAGATAGCGGCGCGGTCGGCAAAGGGGAGGGACTCCCAGGCGGGCTTGGCTGCGAGGGCCGAGTCGATTGCCTTGGTGACGTCGGAAGGCGAGGCCTGGTGGTATGTTGCTACGGTGGTGTTGTGGTCGGCGGGGTTGACCTGCTTTCCGGTGTCGCCCGTCAAGATCTAGGTGACGTTATTAGCTTTACATGGTCGGATTGAGAGCTCTAGAGATGTGTAGGCTCGACTTACCTCCTTACCGCCAACAACGATTGGCACCTCCAAAGGCAGCTTGCTCTGGAGAGTCTTTACTGCGGCATCCAAGCCTTCACGCTGAGCGGAGCCCTTGGCATAGTGGTGCTGTGGTGATTGTCAGCCAACCGCCTCCTCACCAAGCTCCCTCCCCAAGCTTTATCCGGCGTGTTAGGTAACCTACGTTGGGCTCGTTGGAGATCTTGGGGATCTTAAAGGCAGCAAAGGTCGCCATTCTGGTGGATGTCCTCGTCGCAGGAGCAGACAGGCGTGTTGTGAGTCTGGTAGTCGGAACTGCAGAGACGCTGCGTCCGAGGGATGTGATGCGGGAAGAGCTTCGAAGCTGGGAGTTGAGAAGCCCAGTTGCTCGTGTGGACGCCATGATGGGCAGATATGACAGCTTTACGCTGTGCTGTGTGAACAGTCTTCTCTATAGGATTGGACGTGGCAGGATGGTGAGGCACACACACACACGCAGAACAAAGTGATGAGCTAGGAGCGATGTGTAGTATGTATGGGTGATGGGCAATTGGTTCGCAGAAGACGGGAGAGTAGGTGACACTCGGGGAAGAAGAGACCAAACGGCGAACCGACTGGCTATTAAGTTTTTTGTAACGTCAGGAAACGTAATGGGAAAAGAATTTGGACGAGTCGTGAGACACGGAAATTGTTCCCTGCCACTTTCTGCCTACAGATATTGTACCTTTCCCAGCAACCACCGGGCACCGGGCACCTGCCACCGCGAACGTCGGGTGGGCGCGGGTTAAGAATGCGACGAAGCTCGCGCGGGCGGAGAGCTTGTGAGGGGCTGCGGGGGCCCTTGGAGGTAGTGAAATCGGGGGTCCCGGTGTCGCTTTGCTACCGATAAGCATGTCACCAGCACCACCAGCTGCCTATCGCAGCCTTGAACAGCTTTGCGGGGAAGACACACAGCCAATCACAGGAGCCAATTGTGCCCTGACCTTGGATTTTTGGGGTCGAGATAGCAGTGCCGCAGCGGAGTTGATCGGCTCAGTGGGCCCGAATAGATAGAGGCAATCGGCTCTCCCGATCCCGACCCCCCAAAAGTCGGGATCGGATGGCTGTTCCGACATGGAGACCTTTCGTGTGTTGCCGGCCCAAAGGCTTAGGGAAACGAATTACAGCAACGGAGAAAACTTCACAGTTCAGATATCAGTCTAATGGCTCCGTAGTCGGACGAGCCCTCATCATTATTACTTGGTCTTTTGAGATAAGAACAAACAAGATTATCAAAACACAGCAAAGGTCGAGCTCCCCTAGATGCACCCGCAACAGCTGCACATCTGTTTCCTCCCTTTCCTTTTCGCTCCTTCGCTTCATGGGTATAACATAACGTAATGCAACCAACAACGCATCGGATAGTGTCTCCGACAACCGATGCAACAATGCTAGCCAACGTTGAGCGTCGATCATCAACCATCTCTCCCCTTCACCACCTTGAAGTTTGAACAGAGCCTCTTTACTCGCCCTGTCCATTCTCCCGCTCCTGTGCAGGGAAGGGCTCAACCGGCACCGGCTGGCTGGTGTACTTGAGCTGGGGAACAGTGACACCGTAACCCTCCGTGAGACCCTCACGGTTGTGCTGGTCGATCTCGACGCGGATGCAAATGTCCAAGCTACCATCGTTGCCGGTACCATGCTGCTTCCCAGCTGCCTTGTGCTTGGATCCCGATTCCACTTCGCCAACGTGGAGGAAATCGTGTCCACCCTTGCCGGAAATCACTGACCGCGTATCACCGTTCGTCGGCGCAGCAAGTCCGTTGTTGGGTGAGTTCTCCGTCAGAATGGCAAAGTTACGGCTCGGCATAGTCACATGGTTGGAGTTGGACGTCTTGCTCGAATCGCCAGGGTCCTTGTCAAAGAACCTGAGCAGCGTCTCGTCCGTATCGTGGTTCAGGTGATGGATCTTGTTTCTCCTGGCCAGCAAGTTGGCAATCGCTGCTGGCGGTGGCTTGTTGGTAATGGCAGAAGAGACCACGTTAGCCATGTAGCGGTGGTCGTTCTCCGAAGCAATGTTCAGCTTAGGATGCGAGTAGAATCGGCCCATGGCCGCCAAGTGCACATCGCCGCCCAAGATGGTGATACGGACTGAGAACTCTGACGAGATGGCCTGAAGCCTTTCAACGAGAGCGTTGCGCTCCTTCTTGTGAGTTCTGGCCGTGTAATGGTCGTCAAGGTCGTCGAGCAAATCGACGCTGCCGTCAAAGTGGTTGAAAACACCACCGGCTGGTACTGTTAGCAAGCCGAGTCTTGGGCCGTTTTCTGCTTGTAGACCTACCAAGACCGAATCTTCGGTTCAAGAACTTCACAGGACCCATGATGGGACTGCGGAAGACGTTCTCAAGCCATGTCAGGCGCTGGAAAGCAGTCAGTTTCTGTAAAGACACATCGCAGGATATCTCTACTCACAGGGTACGCAATTGGGATTCCCAGCAATAGGATCAAGTGCTTGAATGGGCGTCCAGACTCCTGAGCACCCTTGAGCTCTTGTCTGAGGCGACTGAAGATCAAGTCATATGTCTCTGGGTAGTTAATTTGATGGCGTGTGCGCTGTGAGACGTTGTTAGTATTATGACTTCCAGTTTATGTTCCTCAACGTCCTTACCTCAGTTCGAGCATCAATACCGAGGAAGGCGATACGCGCGCCAAGCCGGGCGAACATGTTATGTGAGTGTTCAGCGACATAGGGCTGGGAGTCTGGTTAGTCGTGCTTCCAGGAAGAGTCTATAACGATGACTTACACCAGGTTGCTTTCCAACAATGTAGCTGGGATCCGACTTGGCCGGCGCAACGTAGGTATCCATGAGTTGGTTGGGGTCAAGTCCTTGATTCTCGGCCGTTGTGGTGTGGTCTGCCCGTGGATTAGCCCGAATTCCTTCGCCATCGATCAGAAACGTACCCGAGGTGTAGGTGGACGGTGGCGGAGGGAGGTGATGCTGGAACAGCATGTAGTACTTGTGAGCAGTTCCACCAATACCCCTGAACACATCGCACCGCATGAAATCGTCAACGTAGGAACCGAATCCGTCAATAATCTAAGTTGTCTAGTTAGAATCGTTCACTACATTGCGTTCGAGCTTCAACATACATCATGATCATCCCAGATGTTGAGCTGCGCAATCTGAGCATTGGCAGTCGCAAATGGCTCCGTAGAATACCTGTTGACAATGTTAGCTCTCGACACCTTCATGTTCCCCCCTGACCATGCACATACCAACGGATGTAGTTCTTCAGGTAGTAATCGTCACAAGCCTGGCGAAGCTTCTCGGGGAAGGGGAAGTGCCTGCGCTTCTTGGGGTTCGAAATCTCGGTCCATTCGCGCAGAGGTCCGTCGACTCGAATTCCGTCGTTGTAGATCTGATCACCTCCTCCGAGCCTATGCGCAAGTCAGGAAAAGCGGCCTCGTACTAGACAGGCCGAGACATTGGACTCACATGACGTGGAATGGCCGCTCTTTGTGGTGTCGGTTCACATCGTTCCACAAGGCGGGGCCGCTCCAGGCGTCTTCATCGGTGCCCACGCTGAATCCGTTGCAAGAATGGAACATGATGCGCATCGACTCGTTGATAGCCGGGACGAAGAAGTGGTAGCGATCAGGCCGGATGTTGCCAGCCGAGAATCGCATATCGGGGATCGAGTACTCCCACTTGGCCTCTGTTTGGCTGAGTGGCAGTGACAGGTCAAAGGCCCAGAAAGTGTTGCGAGGGTCAGAGTAAAGACATTGACCTTGGGTCTCTGAGCCATTGGTGCCCGCGCCATTGGCTGCGCCGGAAACCTCGCCGTTGAAAGCACCGTTGGAACCGTTGACACCGTTCGTCTCGGCCGGGGCGTGCTGGCCATTTACTGCGTTCGCAGGGTGCAGAACCAAGTGCGGTGCGAAGCTCTGAGTCTTACCACCGCCCTTTGTGACGATCAAGACACTTCCGTACCAATTGTTCTCGTCCATCCTGCGGTAGTTGAGCAGCGGTCCGCAGATGATCTCCCGTCCGTCGGGAGGGTCTTGCTCGTGGGCGTGGGTCGCCGTCGCGCGAGGCTCCTCCTGGCCAGCGGCCTCACCAGCAGCGACCATGATGGGCTTGAAGTTGGGCGGAGCATTGGGGTTCTCGGGCTCGACGCGGTCGCGGTTCAGAAAGTCGGCCAGGTCGTTGGTGGTTCCTCGTTCTTGGGGGTCGCGGGGTTGTGCGTGGCTATGAGCACCGGCAGCATGGCGGAGGAAAGCTGAGCTCTCCTGGTGACGCCATCTGTTGGCCGAGGCATGGGGGTTGTGCTCGATATCATCGAGGGCTTCTCCATGGGGATGTGAAGCCATGTCTGCGATTCTGCGATGAATTTGTGATTTTGGTTTCGTCTTTGTCTGTGAGCAGAACAGAACAGTCAGATGGTGGAAACAGAATCACAAAGAATATCCCTGGGCAACGGCGGCTCCTTACAATGTCTCAGCGCAAATGAGACTGGCAGGGTCCAATTTGCGCGCGCCGGTCAGCTCTCAAGAAGCCCAGAGTGTCTCAAGATTTGTTGTTTGGCGAACTGAGAGCTCGAAGGGAGGGTATCAACAGCCGGGTACCTGGTGTTGCGACGCCAAACAGAGACGGTAGCTCAAAGGAACCTTGAGGAGAAGGGGGGACAAGTGAGAGATGGGAAAGGGGAAAAGCAGGAAGATTAAACGGAGAGAGGGTGTTGTCGGAATCCCACCACAAATCGCACGAGAAAAGTGTGTTGTGTTGGATTGGATGCGCTGCTGGGCCAAGGTAGCGCAGAGTGACGCGAGCTAGGAATTAAAGTGGCAGGGATTATCGGCGGTGGTGGGGAGAGTTCCACTACGCAACCGCTGTGGGCAACGTCCTGGTCTGAGGTGAGCTGCTGCGCTGCAGCTGGAAACTCGAGCTAGGGAGGGCAAGGTTCGGTATGAAGCCGCCCAGGCTGCCCTGTTCGTTCGTGCTGTGAGCTGCAGCAGGGTGAAAAGGTGGACCGGGGGCGGTTTCTAGGGGTGGACCTTGAACGGACAGTACAATCGGACTGGGTCCAAGGAGAGGCCGTCATGGAGTTTTGCGACACTCGGGGAGAGACTCGATAGAGAAGGACACTTTGTGATGGTTGTTCTTGGTGGTGCTGTTAGTGGTGTTGGACGAGTGCTGGCTTCTTTGTTGTGGCGATGGCCAACTTTCTGGCCGTCATCGACAAGTTTTCGCCCCCAAGCACAATGCCATACCTGTATTGACATCTAATCTACTAAGTAAGTGTGGTAAAGTAAGTACCTTTGAAGGCGGCCTCCGAAATCCCCTTGGGTTTGTATCCCTCGAATTGAAGCGGCCAGCGCCAGGAGGACCGGGCCTTCACCTCAGTCCAAGTCCGCAATCCTTGCTGCAGCAAATCAACCCACCTGACTCCATGCAGAGAGACATGCAGTATGCTAATAAGCTAATTACTGTGTAAGAGCCAGGTCCGAGGTCTTTCCATCCGATCCTATTCGTGTGTGAGTATCCGTAGTAATACGCGTAGACCACCTTGCTCTGCATCAAACTATAGGCAGGTAGCTTCCTGCTGCCGTTAAAAAAGTAAGCAACGACCCGTCTCCAGCCATTGGTTTTTGAGGCTTATCGGTTGACAACGTGTTGACGTTCCATCATCCGTATGTCCCATTGCCCCCTCCTCTTCTCCCTCGTCCCTCGCCCCAAGTTGATTGAATGTGTGCGTTGCGTTGCCTTGGTTGTTGGGATGAGGCGAGGGCCGTGAGTCGTCGGTGACAGCCGGGACAGCGTTGGAGCATTGGAGTGTTGTAGCGTGCAATGGGCGTTCCCCCAATCTCTCAGCTGCCAAGGTCAAGGTCCTCGTCAGCGATCTGTTTGCCGACGCATGTGCGTCTTTGGGGGCCTCTGGGGTTGGGATGACGATGAGTTAAGTGGCCAGAGCTCCCACAAACGGCCAACCCATGGGCCATACCAGACCAGCTCGCATTGGGCAAACACGCCGGTTCCATGCTTGCAGGGCAGGTCCCGGGCAAAAAAGCCAAAAGGCACCACTCACGCGGCGCACAATGTAACGCCGACTCTGGCAATGGCTCTCTGTGTTGGCGTCTTCCTCCCAAGAAGTACGTAGTGCGTATCGATCAGGAATACATGTGCGCTAAGTGGGCGAACCGATTCGAGAGGTAAAATTTAGCGGCCTGCAAGAAAGGTGTGCCTGTATGGGAGGCCTGCGAAGAAGGACTGGCCGATGGGTCAATGGGTCAATAAAGAGTTAAACTGGTACACGTAAATATCAATGTGCCGCGGCAAGCTGCTGCTGCTAATGTTTAGGTAGGTAAGTCAAGGTAGAGAGAGACTGCTGGAGACTGGCTGGAGCTGGATTAGAGTGAGACTCGACATGAGTGCGGTGGTGTTGTGTTTGGGTGCCACGGGTTTGTTGATTGATACGCCCAAAGGGGCCTGGTCTGGCGGGTTGAAATTGACACCTACGTCAGGACTTGTGGTTCTTTGGAAATTGAAACAGGAATGCCCCCACAGGGGCCAAGGCTGAGATGGCCCACTCCGCGTCTCTCCCATCCTTGCTTCTCAACTTCTTAGTCCCCACTATCCCTGTCCTCCGCTGCAGCTCTTGGCCCCCGGTCTTGGTCCGCGGACTCGGCGTGCTGTTTGGCTTATGCCACATCCCGTACAATCGGATTGCCGTTGCCGGTTGTCTCCTTGGCGAGCCGGCATTTCTTTTCTCTACAGTCTTGTCTCTGTCCTATTCGCGGCTGCCTAGCGCCGGTGCTCGTAGTCGTCGAAACTGCTCCGGGTCCGGCGAGTAAAGCCACCCCACCGCCCGACCGGCTGCGCTCTTGGATCCGGCCTAGTGGGTCCCGTACTCGTTACATCGGAGCCGGCGAAACACATCGCAATCAAACAGGGGCCCAGAACCAGACACAATGGCACCACCTGCAATCAACATTCGTTGAATTGTGACCTCAACATACTGAGAAAAAGGAGAGGTGACAACTGAGGCTGTTGAGTCTCTCGGGCTTCGAGGTTACAGGTGTGGCTTTTAGCATAATTTATGGGTAGCGCCGGCATGTATCATAAATGGGGGCCTGCTGAATACGTTATCAGTTGGCTCTAGCGAGGCTCCGTAGCCTCGAAACTTCCTTACTAATAGATCTGGGTATCTCGTTAAACCTCATCATTTCACGGTCTAAGGCTAGATTTCCAAGGTCGGCTTAAGGACAGTTAGTTCAGCGCTGATATCGAGATAAATGTGGACGTTAAACGTCATAAACGTCCGGTAATCAAGAACCAGCCATGGAGTTGAATATATACTTATCATTCGCGTAAATAAGCTTCTTAAAGATGAGGCTCCGCTTCTGGGTGCCGTAAAATTAACCATCTTTATATCCTCGGGCACTGCCATACAGAGGTAGAGAGGAGTGGCTGAATAGGGGTTGCAAGATCATTGACGGAGACGAGGGCGCTTGAGGAAATAGTGACTGGCCTTCTGTAAATGAACTTATCGACAACACTTTCAAAGTCACCCGATCCCGTCAAACCCCTGCGGAATACTTTCCGAGGTCCTTTCGTCCAGCATTGGCACTTTCCAACATCGGCTCTGGTCTCCATACCCTAAAAGAATAGTTCATGGCTTTCTTTGAACAACAACCACCCTTCCTGGACCAAGTTATCCCAAAGCGTAAGACGGCGCAGCAAGTAGTTTCACTGCTTGGTCTGTTCAGCCCAGCGATTCATGCACCGATACTCCCCTCCTTGCTACATTTTCTATGCGGATGCTTGGTTCTGCTACGCAGAGTGGTCTACCCACGATTCATGAGGGCATCAGATGCTTACTTGAGGATAAGGAGTACTTGAGGTGGCGGGCTCGACAACTTCCGCACGAACGGAGTTGCCTACCCTGTCCTTATACCGATAGCGATGGGCAATAAGCGGCAATGAGACAGTGCCATTAGCTACGTGAGCTTACCGCTTGATTGACCTCGTACTTGGCGGGAAGTGGGAGTTGTGTATCGCTACTTACAGAGGCAGACGGCGTGCAAAGTTAAGGGTGAGACTTTGCCAACTTTTGAGACGAAAACCTTTCTCCAAAGGCCAGCAAGGTGGGCTTGCCCAGTGTTTGAGATCTCTAGAGACGAACTATCAAGTGAAGTATCACGACGAGGACGAGGATTGAGCTCCACTGGGTTGTAGTCTTAATCTGATAAAGGTCACGTTTTCAATATAACTGCCGAATACCATGCAAACAATATGCGAACATGATAGAAGGGTTGTGCCATCAAGTGGTTGTATCGCATAATGCAGTTCCATTGACAAGAGAAACAGATATCATGGGGCTCCAGGCCGAGGTTAATTTGACCAAGTGCCGTGACATTGGTGACTGTGACTCATTTGATGTGGCGCTAGGCTGGTACTCACCAGTCCATCAGAGGTTGAAGATTGATGTACAGAGACACTGCATTTAGTTTGATGATATCCAGATAGAGCTTGAATACAGGAATAGAGTCAACTTGGGAGCACATCCTAATGTAAAGGGGCTTACAAGCACCTACAGGAGTCTCTGTAGTTACAGAACTAATGAATTCTATGCTGTACTTCATGACAATTCTTCATATCGACAAATGATGAAATACCTGACTTGAGCCACTCCCCTATAAACACCACTGCGGCCTTTCCCAATCACAGAGGAAGACCCAGGATGGCATCTTCTCAGTCGTCTTGGAGGGTCATCGACTTGATGAGGCTGGGGTACAGTATGGCCAATGATCCAAGGTCCTGCTTATGAGAATAATGAATACGCATAGGCCAGACCCTAACTAGCTTTCATTTTGGCAGTATCCTAGCAGGAATACTTGCGGCATGAATAGCAGGCATATGAGGCAGCGACATGGTCGCTCCTCTGTGAGGATACAGTTACAGCTCTATTCGACGCCATCAACACTCGACTTCCCAATCAGAACCCCAGCTTTACGATCCCAAAATCTTTACCTTCAGGCCTTTACCTCCTTATCATATTTTATCAAATACCTTCCCAGGCAATACCTGTCAATATATTTCAATTACTGTATGTGGCACTTACTTGACTTCAATCTGTTTCAAGTCCGGCTGCGTGCTAGTCTGATTCCTTGTAGCCTCCCGATTTCCTCTTAACCAACCTGATGATGATCTAGTCGATGGAGGAAGTCATCGAACCCTGAAACTCAAAGGGTGCTTTAATGAAGCCAAGAGTCCGAGGCACTGCAAGTAGGGAGTATGGGTCAACGAATCGCACTGGCTTCTATTAATGTTGTGATTATACCTACTGACTAAGACGTTGTAGGTCGTGTTGAGGAGTACGGTCTTGGTTCACGAGCCGTGTGAAAGATTCGCAAGCTACTAAATGGCGTTCCCCACTTAGATCGACTCACAGCTCTTGATGAACCATGATGCCTGCCACTTCTGCCTGAGACCCGTGCTTTAGTGTATCATGCTGGATAAAATCTTCGCTCAAAAATGTCTGTTGGTCGTGATATGTTGGAGACCCATCTGACGTCGTGTGGATACCTGCCATTCTCGGCCTAGCATTCAGCTTGTAGAGTTTAATCCGCCGCTTCTGCCTACCAACCTTCCAGGCTAGAGATGGCTCTTGAAAAGGTTCAAAAGGAATAGACAACTCTTCACCTGAGGCAATGTGATTAAATCACCAAAGACTCACTGCTCGCAAATCAAAAACACACTATCTATGATACCTCGACACGGATTGATTGTTCTATTACTGAGCATCTTGTCACTTGGTTCAACACATTTCGCCTCGTCACGCAGCATGTGCTTAAAATCAAACGACTGCTCGAAACATTTCTGCGAGCACGAATGTCTCTATAATGCAGCGTTGAACGGTAACACGCAACGCCTAGTGGAGCTCATCCTCAACGGAGCCGACGTCTCGCAGACATCGATGCCCGGCCGACACCAGCTGATCCACTTCACCGGACGGCCGGGATGCGCAGAAGCCATGAAAGCCCTGCTCGACGCCGGTGCCGATGCTTCTGCAGTCTCTTACGACGGTCAAACGCCTCTGCACATGGCCGCTGCCGACGGCGGAATCGAGCAAGTGCGAATGCTTATCGAGGCCGGAACCAACGTCAACGCCCGTACCATGGACGACGAGACCCCATTGCACCAAGCAGCCAGGGCCGGAGAGGAGGAGATCGCCAAGCTGCTCATCGCTGCTGGCGCGGACGTCACCGCCAGAGACTGCTACGGACAGTCACCGCTGCATCATTCTGCTAGTCGTGGCCACCTCGGCGTGGTCCAGGTCCTTCTCGACGCCGGCGCCGACATGAGCGCCCTCGACAACAAAGGAGACACGGCCGCCCTGCATTCCCTCTCCGACGCGCCGGCCTCGGTCAAACTCATGATAGAAAAGGGCGCCGACGTTTCCGTCCGAGGCCAGGGCGGCGACACGCTGCTGCATCGAGCGGCCTCGTTGTCGGCGGAGCTGATAGGACTCTTGCTCGAGGCCGGCGCGGACCTCGAGGCGACGGAAGACGAAGGGAAGACTCCCTTACACGCTGCTGCGGCGTGGGGGGACGCCGAACATGTCCGGATCCTGCTTGCGGCCGGGGCTGATATGGGAGCGAGGACCAACGACGGCGAGACGGCGCTGCACTTGACGGCGGGGAGCCCGGATGCCCTGTTCCTGGGGTTTGGACATGAGTCTGATGCCAAGGCTAGGGTCCTCCTCGATGCTGGTATCGATGTGAATGCGCGGACGGTGTCAGGTCAGACAGCCCTTGATCGGGCGAGAGAATGCAACCGCCCAGCTGTTGCGGAGGTGCTTCTTCAAGTAGCAAGTACAGAACCTTGATAGACATGGGACTGATATTACCTTGACCGTTACTGTACCTGACAATCTGGGTTGAGGAATAGAAGTTGGCCGAATCCTTCCTGTTGTTTAATGAATGGGCCGCTTGAATCCGTTTGATGTCGTTCCCTTCGCTCCAGGACACAAATGAATCTTGCGATGGTGGCTCACGTTATTTCGATGCAGACCGAAGTTGCCTTTGAAGTTGTAATGATTGAGAATAAATCATAGCGGATGAATGGGCACTTCTACCTGGTGTATTAATATTGGATCATGAATGAACCCCGCCAAATTTACGGCCCCGGAAAGCGCGGCCAATTAAGCACGCGAATTCCCCGCCAGCGCAGCTGGAGCTTACCTTGACCGGGACCTTTATTCGACCAGTGCAACGCGCAGTGACAGGGCAGTAGCCGTCCGAGACCTCCGAACCCTTGTGTCCCATGTTTCCGTACGGATACCTTCCATTACCATAGCTTACCTTACTCCGTACCTTCATGTTGACTTTCCTCCCTCCACCTCCCGCCCTGACCAACCCTCACTTCGACCACGTAGCACGCGACACACCCTCCGATCCGAGAGACGACAAGACCACTCGCATACGAACACCACCAGACAATAGATGCAGACGCCATGAACAGCTCACGAGCGGGGAGGCCATCAAAGTCTCCTCTGTTCCTGGTCCTCGCCGCAATCCTCATCTCCGCAGTAGTCGTCGAGGCCTCGTACGGCGATCGGTTACCAGAGTTCCGAGAATGCGTCCAAGTTGGTGCCCACCACATACACACACATAGGCGCGCGCGCAATCTTGTGCTCGCGCTCGCAACTAGCAATGCTTGAGAAAACTCTCTAGTGTCTCTTGTGACTGACATACTGCTCTGCGCTTCCCCCGCGATCCAGGTCTGCCACGATGAGAACTGCGCTCCTGGCAAAGATGCTACACCAATCCGTACGTTTCTCCCCTTTACCAACCCCCGTAACGCAAGGGGATCAAACAGCTAAAACATGACGTTCCCACCAACAGCCTTCCACCGCCGCCTCCTCCTCTGGACCTGCGCCTCCGAATGCGACTACACCTGCCAACACATAATCACAAAAGAACGCCTCGCCGCCGGCGAGCGCGTGGTCCAATTCCATGGCAAATGGCCCTTCCCACGCATCCTGGGCATCCAAGAGCCCGCCAGCACCCTCTTCAGCCTGGGCAACCTCTGGGCCCACCAGAACGGCTGGCGCAAGCTTCGCGCCGTCATCCCGGCTTCCTACCCGCTGCGGCCCTGGTATGAGTGGCTCGCGGGCGTGGGCATCGCCTCGTGGACGTTCAGCGCAATCTTCCACACGCGCGACTTTGTGGCCACGGAGCAGCTCGACTACTTTGCTGCGGGCGCGAGCGTGCTGTACGGGCTGTACTACACCGTGGTGCGCATCATGCGCCTCGACCGGCCGACGCCGCGCCGGAGGTCGGTCCTGCGCGCGTGGACGCTGCTGTGCGTGCTGCTTTACGCCGGGCACATTGCCTACCTCAAGGGCGTGCGGTGGGACTACACGTACAACATGACGGCCAACGTCATCATCGGCGTGATTCAGAACCTCATGTGGCTGTGGTTCAGTTTGAACAAGTATAGGCAGTCACGGAGGACGTGGGCCATCTGGCCGAGTATCGTTGTCGCGGTCGTCGTCATGGTTATGAGTTTGGAGCTGTTTGACTTCCCACCCGTGTGGGGTGCTTTGGATGCGCATAGTCTCTGGCACCTGGGAACGATCCCGCCAACGGTACTCATGTACAAGTAAGTCGGCAGTGACACTAAGATTAGCTTGCTGAGTTGACCGCTGACACTGGACTAGCTTCCTGATCAAGGATGCGCAGGACGACATGGCAGGCAGTGAGAGGTTAAAGTCTTGAGGCATGCTACCTGTATAGGAGAACGAAAAAGAACGGCAGTGGAAAGATGCTGAGCCGAGGGCTGGGTGCCAGCCAGGAAGCTTCAATGAGGTATGACACGACAGGGCTAGGCCGCAGAGGCAGGGCATCACGCTACAAAAAGACCGTGTAACCTTTGGCCAGCATCCGTAGATTAGGTTGAATGGTCTATTTTGCCATGTTGTCCGGTGTCCAATTAGGCCGGTATAGTAGAGAATAATATGTAACGAGTATGACGGCTTTCTCTCTGGTAAGCAGTACTAGTATAGCATAGTATAGTGTGGGCATCGTTTCCCGTCCACGCAATCTCAAAAAGCTTCCTATACGCAGCAGCAGCAATTTCACGACTTGGGCACAACGCAACCCCTGCTCAGCTCATCATCCACCAGATCGTCTTTCTTATACACCAACAATCACAGTCTCGGTCCTGAAGACCTGAATGGCACCATCGCCCCAGATGCCGATGACGGACAGCAGGAAGCCGACCGAGGCAACGGCAGACTGCACGAGCTGCGTCTTCCTGAACCCGTCCACCTCCCCGCGGACCTCCTCGCCGTTGAGCGCCTCCTCCTCAGCCTCAGCAGCCGCAGCCGAAGACTCGTCGCCGCTCGCGCTGCCTGCGCCGTCGCTGTGGGTGTCGCCGAGGACCTCGTAGCTGGCCTCCATGCGCGCCTCCTGGCGAGCGATGCGCGCGGCCTTACGCTTCTGCTCGCGGTCGCGGGCGGCTTGGCGGCGGGCGGCGATGGATTCCTTGGAGGACTCGGGGCTGATCTTGAGGACGTAGGGGGTGATTTGCTCGGCGAGGCCAGAGGTGAGGGTGAGGACGGAGGCGTAGACGAGATAGGGGTGGCGGAAGGCGCGCGGGGAGAGGAAGAAGGCGAGGAGGAAGGAGGTTGCGGATACGCCGGTGAGGAGGCGGAGGCGGGCGGTCGCGCTCGGGTAGAGGTTCTTGAAGGCGCGGAGGGCGTCGGAGGCGGAGGGGAGGGAGAGGATCGAGGGGACTGTTACGGTTGAGAGGGAGTAGGAGAGGCCCTGTTGCGTGCATATGTGTTAGTATGACTTGGATGAAGCATTTCATGATTGGGGTGCAGGATGGTTCGGCATCCCGGACTTTTGAATGCGGGGAGTGGAGGGGTGGATGGGGATGGGATAGTGGCGTCACTGATGATGGTCCGACGGTGAACCGAGCTGCGCTGGGAGGGCGGTGAAACGTACAGTCAGAAGACCGAGGGAAACAGTTCCCACGAACTTCAGGAGAGAGACTCCTTTGGAAGCCATGGTGGCTGGTGCGGAATTCGTGAGGGATTCGGAAGGGAGGCGTTGGAGGTGGGCGGTCGATGGGCGGGAAAGGATGTAAAGTCGAAGTTCGTGAAGGTGTGAGGCGCGGGATGTGTCGTCAAACTATCGGTCGGTCAGGTCGCTACTTGCTGCTGCTGACCGGCAAGGCGGGGCGGGGAGGGGCGGTATAGCGTATCACTCTTTGTTGGACTGGAGTAACTGGAGTGACTGGGAACCTGCTGTGACCTGGGTTCTGGGGGTAGATGGTTTCCGGCCTGACCAGTTAGGCGTCACAGGATGGTAAGATGTTTTGGGTAGGTGGAAATGGCCGGATTGATTGAGTGACGCTGACGCTCATTGACGACGTTTCCCGCCTTGCCGCTTGCCGCTCTTTCGCGCGGGAATAAGTCCTGAAAAAGAGAGGGGCTGTTTCCTTTGCTTGTTTGGCGACCACCTGGTTGGCCGGGACTGCGGGTGGGTACCTGTGGTGGAGTTTTCCCGTCAGCGGTATGGGGTAAGGTACTGTGAGCTTAAATTATCCGTGCGCCTTGCATTAGTCCCGAAGCTGGCCCGAGGTTGCACAAATCACTTTGTCTTGCCTGCACAAAGAGCATAATCATGTCTTGTTATCTCGACTTCATCTTCTTTATCTTGGTCGAGCTCTCTAGACGATACCATATTGCTAAGCTGGGAAGCTGCAGACAAGGCGCCCTTGAGGCGCCCTTGCTCTGTCGGCCATCGATTTTCCAGAAGCCGGTCAGACCCAGTTTTGAGCTTTCTCCTGTCGTGACCTCGTCGACTCAAAACAGGTGTCGTCTCTCCGGAAGTGTCAAGCCATGTCTTTGGGCGAGAAGATAAGAAGAGTGAAACATAAATCCATCTTGTCATTATAGGCTGTGCTTGCTACATTCAAGTTCCTCAACACACCTTCATCCGTCAGCTTCACCAGCTGCTTCAACATCGCCTACGCCGCCAACCCCCAAGGTCCAGGTTATCTTCGAACCTCGCGCAACTTCAAGCCTCGGTCGCAGGAGGTCTTCTCGCGTGGATCAAGTAGCTGTTCCTGGTTAATTACGTTCGAGATGAAGTAGAGCTGCAGGCACAAGCAGAATTCGGCCCGATCCCATCGGTAGGAGACTTACAGGGGTGTGTAGGCGTGAATTCTTCTATCCTTCAAGTCATTCCTCACTTGAATGAGGAAAACGTTGACTTCCTCCTTCGTCCATTGGAGGGCCCTGGTCAAAGGAGCCATACTCCATCCCTCGATGCCCTCGAGGAAATTCTCGAGATTCCACTCGCCAAGCTCCTTGTAGTGGGGGTCCTTTGGCCAGCTGTTGAGGGGCCACTTGTACTTGACCATCTCGATATCCACGAACCCGACTTCCTTGAGTATAGGAACCAGAGTTGGAGCATTGATGAACGGCCGACCGAAGATGTTGCAGGCCTCCTCGATCTTGTCTACCCACTTGATGAAAGCGTGGTCAGACGTCAACGTCCCATCGTCACAGTCTGGCCGCATGTGACCTTCAAACAGCTCGACGTAGCCACCTGGCTTAAGGTTGCTGTAACAGGTCAGTGTGCAGACTCAATGTAAGCGAATCCGGAAACCATTTACTTGAATGTCTTTTGGAAAAACTTTTTCCAATCACCGATGCTTGAGGTCATACCACGAATGTGGATGTAATCAAATGGCTGACTGAAGGTCCAAGGCTCTTCAGCATCATCGACCTCGAACTTGACATTGGGAGGGACACTACAGAGTCGTTAGTAAATTACACGTGCGGCAATGCGAGAGGAATCGGATCGTACAATGCCGTGGGGACTGGTGTGAGATCTATCCCGAGCACCTGTTGCAAAACTTAGTGCTTCTTGCATGGAACTGCTGCTGGGGTCCTTACCTCGGCCTCGGGGTGTTCATCTCCAAAGTCAATGGCCCACAACCCGGTTCCAGTTCCGATGTCAAGCACACGCTGGGCTTTGTTGTTCTCATTCGGGGGAGCAAGACCCAACTTGTAGTCGAGCGTGAGTAGATACAGGTTGTGCTGAAGATCTGTAAAAAACATGAGATGATGCAGAGGAAGAAACGCATGAGGGTGAGGTACCAAGCCTGTCGCTCTCCTTCTCATCATTCGGATAGTTGTATTCTGTATTCATTAGTATCGCGAAAGTCGCGTGGCTAATACGTTGACTTACTGCCTTCCTTGTACTTGTGATACGTCCTCCCGTTCTCGATACGATGCTGGAGGATTGAGCTGGACAGACTTGTACTGGAAGACGCAATGCTCTAGATTCATTAGGCCGCTCATACCAGACACAGGGCTCCATTTTCCCCATAGACTTACAGTTGCCCTATCAGATGAAGCATCATCGCTGAACTATGCAGTATTCAGTACTGAGCAGGCGCTCATTTAGGAGCTGCGACTTACATCGTCAGCCGCCATGACGGGGCCATTGTCAGGCACCGGCTCGGTCGTATTGTCCGCCATCATGAAACAGGTTTTGTGAGCCCTCGGTGTGTATCCGGAAGGTTTACAATCCGCTCAGTAATTGCAGCAAAGACAAAACGAGGAGCGCGACGGATACATAAACGATTTTATCGCATCTGTGGAACAAGAACTGCTACCCCTCTTCTGGAATGGAGACAATCATGCATGTTGGTGACAAGGATTATTGTTTGCTGTTGGAGCCTTCTTCCAACAGAACAAGGGTTTTGAACGTATCAGAATCAACTCCTCATCGTTCTAAGACAAAAGCAGCAGGAGTGTACGACGTGGCGAATCAGTATTTCTTTCTCTCGTTGGTCGTTTTATATCGAGTTGCAGAGTCCACCTGACCAACCCGTGCCGCGGCCTTGGGCCGTTGCATTAGTTTAAGGGACAACAAAAGACCCATTTTGGATTTCTTCATGAGCGACATGTGGGCCTTCAAACTTCCAACACAGAGTCGTAACAGAGTCGGGAGGTTGAACCTTACTTGGAAATCCTCTTCTTCTGCCTTCTCTGGCGCATCTGGTACAACTTCGTCAACATTCTTCAGTTCATCGCGGCCTGGTGCCCTCAAACATCAATCTTTATTCAACCTCTCAGGCTTGCGCGCATGTATCAACTGACTACCTATGGTTAGAAGAAGAAGTGAGAGTCGCCCCGCCGGGTTAAATTTACTCACATCGGAATGTAGGCGTGTATATATCTGTTTCTCAGATCGTTACGCACGCCAACGAGAAACATATCGACCGCTTCCCGTGACCACTTGAGGGCCCTAGTGAAAGGCGCAAGTGTGAAGCCTTCAATCCCTTCCATGTAATTCTCATGGTTGAAATGGCCGAGGGTCTGATAATGCTCATCCTTGGGCCAAGTATTGAGAGGCCACTTGAACGTGCTATACGTCACGTTGACGTAGCCGATCTCTCTCATGACTTCCACGAGGGATAGCACATTTACGAAAGGGCGCCCCATGATATTGCACGCCTCTTCGATGTAATCTGCCCATCTTGATAGTGAATGCTCTCGAGTTAGCGTCCCGTCGTCGGACAAGGGCCGGACATGACCTTCTTGCATTTCGAACCAACCCCCGGGTTCAAGATGGCTTATAGGGATTAGTAAATTACATGTTTGAAGATGAGGAGGGTCCTTACTCGTATGCTTGCTGGAGGAGCTTCCTCCAGTCTGATATAGACGACGTCATTGCACGGCAGTGTATGTAATCGAACGGCTCACGGTATGTCCACGTCTCTTCTATATCGTCAACCTCAAATCTGATGTTGGGTGGGACGCTAAGTGATGATATCAGCATGTCAGAACGGTTTCTCATGGGTATTTAGTCCGTACGCGGTCGTTTGTGTAGGTGAAAGATCTACGCCGTATACCTGATTATGGGTTCAGTCTTTGGGGAACTCGACTCCTTTCTGCATTGCTCACCACTGCTTCTGGGTGTTCATCAGCGAAGTCTATGGCCCAGATGCCCGTGCCGGTTCCCAGATCAAGCACACGATTAACCTTGGAACCTGGCTCATTCGGCGGAGCAAGTCCCAGTCTGTCGTGAAGGGTGAGGAGGAAAAGCTCGTGTTGAAAATCTAGAGAAAAAAATGCATGGCATGAGCTCGATTCGACGTGACGATCTGAGGGGGAAATGGTAGCATATACCTAGCCTATCCATCTCCCGTTCGTCATTAGGGTAGTTGTATCCTAAGATGCAAGGTCAGATGACTAGGAGACCAAGACTATCGTAATAACATACTTCCAGCTTTGTATTTGTGGTAAGTTCTCCCATTCTCGTGGCGGTGTTGAAGGATCGAGCTCGATAAACTGTGAGTTGAGGATGCGATGCTCTGCGGGAAAAAGTTATGCCCTTGCTTCTCTTGTGGATGTCAAACATCAATTATTGCTTACCGTCAACCTCTCTGATGCGTTATCCTCTGTAATCTGCAACTGACTTTAGTATAGTCAAATCGCATTAAGGTAAAGCGGTCCTCTCACTTCATCAACCACGATGACCGGTCCGTGGTTAACCGATGGTGCGGATTGATCGTTGCACATGATAACTGCTGAGTTCCGAAAGGCAGTGTGATGACCGCATCGCTAGCTCCCCTGGCTCTGACAGAGAGATTGACGGGAATCGAGACCCAAATGGCTGCGAACCATTTATCTGTGGTGGAAGAGGATTCCGCCCCTCCTCTTGGCCAGACATGGGTTTGCGATGTTGGTGACAAGGTGCCAGGTTGGTGCGTGGGCACTGCTTGCTCCAACGGCGAAGGAGTAGGCCGGGGTGGCCTTACGCACGTATCATGGCGGATACTACAGGGGAGGCAATCACTGATATGCATGGGGGCAGGTTGGTTGAAATCCTATCATATCCGAATACCCAAGTCGTATATATCCCTCAGTAGATGATAGCTCTAGGCGGCGATCCTTCAGAGTTCTATGGGACTTACGATCGGTTGAGCGAAGACACGATCTTGAATGCAGCAAATCCATCCAAAAGACCATCGGCTCTACCCCCATCTTATAAACGTGGATTTCTACCAGTCATGGAGTATGCCTTAAGGCCCTGTCACTCACAGCGCATTATGCGATCTCTCTGTCTGTCGGCAGCAATAATTTGATCCACATATGGCACGCGAAACGATGATGGTGAAAACAGTATGCAGCTTAAATTTCATTGTGACTGACAAGAAAACCTGCCACCCCCATATATAGAAGAGAACATTGCAGCTTCTCACTCCTGCACACAAGAAAGCATGCACCACCAAGCCAGTGCCTCGCTCTTACGAGGCCGGCTCTGCTGCCTTCTCTTCAGGTTTCCTCCCGTAAATCGAGTAGCTTTACTCCGCATCAGTACCAAAGACCTAAAGTGGGAAGTGAAAACTTACATTGGCCAGTAGGCATGAATGTTCCGGTTCTTCATGTTAGTCCGCACCTCCGCCAGAAAGACGAGTACCTCCTCTTTCGTCCAGTTCAGCGCTCTGGTATAGGGCGCCAGCGTCCAGCCCTCGAGGCCTTCCATACAATTGGCATGTGTCCAAGACCCGAGCTCCTTGTAATGGGGGTCCTTGGGCCACTCATTCACAGGCCACTTGTACGTCTTGATAGTCACATCGACAAATCCGGCTTCCTCCATTAAGACCGCGAGGTTGGGAATATCCACGAAAGGGTGTCCGAAGATCTCCACGGCCTCGCCGAGTAGTTTCAGCCACTTCACCATTGCATGCTCTGGTTTAAGGGTGCCATCGTCGCAATGAGGATCGAGATCGGTCTCCTGGATTTCCAGATATCCGCCGACCTCCAAGTGGCTGCTAGAGTTAGCCTATGCCTGTCATGTCTTCTGTCGAAACTCACTCAAAGGCTTGCTTGAAGAATCTAGGCCAATCGCATATACTCGAAGTCATCATCCTGGTATGGATGTAGTCGAAGGGTGTCGAATATGTCCAAGGTTCTTCAATGTCGTCAACTTCGAACTTCACATTCGGAGGGAGGCTATGACGTGTGAGCTCCAGCATCTAGCAAAGGGTCACAACTTCAAGACGCACGCTGTTGACTGGACAGGCGATAGATCTACGCCGGAGACCTAATTGATCTCATTAGTTTCGACTACCTAGAATGATAATAGTGGCGCTTTCGCCTACGTACCTCTGCCTCGGGGTGCTCATCGGCGAACTCGATTGCCCAAAGACCGGTGCCTGTGCCGACATCGAGAACACGCTTCACACCAGAGTCCTTAGCGTTGCAGGGAGCAAGGCCAAGCTGGTAGTAAAAGGTGAGGAGGAAGAGGTTGTGTTGCAAATCTGGACACAGAGTCAGACGGCTTGGCAATACAACAGAGGGATCGAAGAAACTCACCTAATCTGTCGGCCTCTTTCTCGTCGTTCGGATAACTGTACTCTACGCAAGTTAATTTGCGCACTAGCAGAGAATCTGAGGCTTATGTCAAGAGACTCACGGCCATCTTTGTACCTGTGGTAAGTCCTGCCGTTCTCAACTCTATGGTTGAAGATGGAGCTGCTCAAGCTGGTGGTCGATGATGCTAAACTCTGAGCTGGTTGTGAGAAACGGTTCAGGTGCCGGTTTTGAACAATGAGAGTAGTGACATACGGAAGCGCGGTCTGACGAGCTGTCATCCCAATCCTGTTCAAATCGTTAGGGCCTATTGTTCAACTGAAGCTGGGAATGTCTTACCCCCTCTTCAGCGGCAATCACAGGGCCTGTGGCGGCTGGACGATTAGCTTCGTCGTTACACATTGCGATGATCCACAGATATGCTGTCTCTCAAGAGAAAGATCACGTTTGGACAGCGTCGAAGAAACAAATCATTATCAGATTTGGATTTGCGACTCTTATGAATCTAGAAGGTGTGTGTTTTACCCCTCTCCTTGGCCAGGACTGAATGCAGTATAATTGCGGCACAGATGCAGCTCGCTCGTGGAAAACTGTTTGTCTGCTTCATCAAGGCTCGTCACGTACGTAGCATTCCTGGGATGAAATCAATAGGCGGAATATACGATAAAATGCAGGGTATGTGGGCTTGGGGCGGATCAGAACTGGGGGTGAGTTCCCCTGTGATGCCCAATAGTTCAGCCCGCCGAGCCGCGGAGGTGAGCCGCTGCATGAGGTTGGTGAAGGGTCGATGCTGTGACAGGGGAGACTTTCGCATGCTCTTGCTTCAGATCGTACGAGTTGGCAGGCGACGGACTCATTGTCAAGCAGGACTTCGGAAGCATCAGTGGAGCGCCGTCAACCGTGTTTTCTTCTCTCACGTGGTAACCTACTGAGGTCCCAGTATGTGATCAGGGCCCTACCGCAACGGCCTCGATGAACCCTTGGTGAAGATGTTACCGCCGCCAGGTCCTTGGGACGACAATGCTGAAGAAGTGACAGAACCGAGCATCTGTAGCTCCATCTCGTTGGGTTTCGACACCAAATGATGTATCACTTTTCGTGGAGGTCTCGCCTCACTTCAAAAACAGTGATGGCAGGTCCAACAGACCGTGCAACGGTCCACTAATACATCTGAAAAATAACATGATGCGGTTGAACCTGACCTGACCGGAACACGCTGAGAGGGGAGGGCTTACGGGGAGACGGTCGTTCATCCGGGGACCAACATCAGGAATGCGCGCTAAACTAGGCCCCGGACGGGAGGGTAAGGTGCGTTTGCTTTTAGAGGCTAACAAGCCTCATACGGAACGTACCTGGGGCTGAGCAGGGCAAGAGGAAACAGTCTCTTTCCTCTGATCTCGTCCACCAATCAGCAGCTCCTTCCCCAACTTGTGTCTTTGGTTTCCCCGTGATCCCATCGTGACCGAGCTCTGGATGAGTCAGCAGCGGAATAACTAATCATTTGGGTTTGACATGCCGCGGAAGGCTCCGCACTCGGTGTCTATCCTTACCTTCCGTTGCCGAGGTCCCAAGGTCCGACGCGCTACCACCGCCTGCCATCTGAGCTGCGCTTTGCCGTGGCCGTTGCACAACAAGACATCGCACCAACCGGACTCTTTTTGGTTTCTTCTTCATCGTGTAACATAAAGGTTCGACATTCGTGCAACCTCCGATATCTTTGTGCAGCCAACGGATCCACCAAGCATCCATCGTCAGGGTTCCCAAACAACCAGCATCTATCGCCTTGATCTTGTGGAAACAGGGTCCCACACGTCATCATCTCAAACCACCTGTGATACCTTGTTCATTGTCTCTGTCCCATCCCTCATCACCCACATCTGGTCCCTGCAAACATGCCTATTCCCGAGTCCGAGTATTTGAGTCCGGTCTGGAAGGATGGCATCTTCAGTGAGTGACTTTCGGACACAGTCTTTTGTCTGCTGTCACCTTACCATCATCGTCAATACTAACTCTCTTGTGCAGACAACAGAGTCGCCTTTGTCACCGGCGGCGCTGGAAGCATTTGCAGTGCTCAAACTCGTGCTCTTGTCCGCCTAGGAGCAAATGCCTGCATCATCGGCCGCAATGTCGAAAAGACAGAGTCCATGGCAAAGGACATAGCCACAGCCAGGCCTGGTGCAAAGGTCATTGGTATCGGCGGCTGTGATGTCAGAAATGTATGTGCTCTTCTACACGCATTCCTTCAAGATATCTTGTGGCTAACAATTTATATCTAGCCCCAAAGCCTGCAAGACGCCGCAGATCGATGCGCCAAGGAGCTCGGCGGCATCGACTTTGTCATGTAAGCGCCCGATTCACAAGGGTCTCATCCTGGGGTAGACTGCTGACAACCTTATTACCAACAGTGCGGGAGCTGCTGGCAACTTCATCGCACCCTTGTCCGGCATGAGCCCCAATGCATTCAAGGCGGTCATCGATATTGATGTCTTGGGCACTTTCAACACTGTGAAGGCTACCATTCCCTACCTGGTAGAGTCGGCAAAGAAGAATCCCACGCCCAGCCAAAACGGCCTGACCGGAGGCCGCATCATTTTCGTCTCTGCCACATTCCACTGGACAGGTATGCCGCTGCAAGCACATGTCTCAGCCGCCAAAGCGGCCGTCGATGCTCTCATGGCCTCGGTGACGTTGGAGTATGGCCCGTTCGGAGTCACAAGCAATGTGATTGCTCCCGGGCCGATCAAAGATACGGAGGGCATGCAACGGCTGTCCAGCAGCAAGCAGGACCAGGCCAAGGCCAACGCCGTGGTGCCGCAGGGTCGGTGGGGCGTCATCCGGGACATTGCCGATTCCACCGTCTACCTCTTCAGCGACGCCGGCAGCTTCGTTAACGGTCAAGCAATCCCTGTTGACGGCGGTGCTTGGAGACGCCAGGGTGCACTAGCGGTTGGAACAGACGACGACATGCAATATCCGGATTTCCTTTTGAAGGGAGAAATCTCGAAGCACGTAAAGAGCGGCCGAAAGACGGAGTCGAAGTTGTAACCGACATCGAGAAATCGGCCGTGGTGGGGTCGGAAGGATCACCTCCAGCAAGTCCGCGGACAAAGGAATCACATCGACCGGGGGGTGGAGAGATTGTAAGTTGACATCACAAGGGCGTGGATGTTGACCCGCCTAGAGCTTGTTAGATATATCGAAGAACCGCAGGAAATGGCACTATATTGAACGAACCAACAATCGTTTATCGAAGTCACTAGGATCTTTGCCATTTTGTACAATCCTACCTTATGTTTTATCAATCATAACATCCAATCCTTGAGTAAAGCGGCTATCGGCACCACAATTCTACTCTGGCTACCTACCTTGCATATCTCCCAGCCGCCGACAGGCCGAGCCGCCCCGCGGACGGGAGCGGAGATGCTTGCTGCAGCAAAGCTGCCCCCAAACACACTTTTTTTTCCTTACCGTGTCGGTCACCAAGCCAACTAATTAGCGTCTTCCAAAGACCGGACAGGGTGCGGCGCACTCAAGCTTTTCGAGCCAAGCCGGCATCCACATCCCTCAACCTGCAGGTGATAGCTCACCATTGGCGGGTCCTTCAGGAACAGCTTGACTAATTGGCCACACGAATTGCTACGCAGGCGTGAGTGGCATGGTGGTGGCATCCATCCATTCCCGCCATCGCCCACCATGCGGATAAGCAGCAAGACTCACCCGCTCGCGCCGCCCACGGTTGCAGTGAAATCGTACTTTTTGACTGCAGAGTGATAGGACCTGGCCCGGTGGATGCTGATCCATGGGTCTAGTGCGTTTTTATTTGAACCCTTCTCTTGTTACCCCTCCTTTATCGCCAACCATCGACTGGCCCAGAGCAATGAAGCGGGTCGAACCATGCTAGGGACTGGGGAGGAGGTATGGAACATTTGTCGCTGAACGATGTGTGGGCTGCAGGATTTCTTTGAAGGCGACTCTAACTTCTTGAAGCGTCGAAAAGTCCGACTGTCGGTTGTGACATAAAAGGGCCGGCGGTACCCGGCTGCGCGAGGTGACTCGAAGCGACTCCTGATCGTCTTAGTCTCTTCAACTCTCGTGAGGTTTATCTGAACTGCTGACGGGCCGTTAATCTTGTTGCTTTTTCTTCTTTACAGGAATTGCAACCCGGCTTTAAGCTTATCTCGCCGGCCGTTTTCACACTTCGGCGGGTACTCGACTTGTGTGCAGCAAGTTGCTGATAGTTCAATTGGTTAATATCGAGTAAGTGGAGGGCTCTACCTGTTGTTTTCGTGCATACATCAACTCTTATAGTCAGTGGACATCATTGTCAATAGCAGAGCTGACACCCTCACAGAGTCCAACAACACATCGCAAACATGGGACTCAAGCACCTCCTGGCAATGGGCCTGCCCATCATGCCCGCGGCCGCGGAGACCGTCCTCGGCATCTACGTCTTCCACCGCCACGGCGACCGCACAGCCAAGAAGACGCCTCCCGTCCGCTTCACCGACCTCGGCGCCTACGAGGTCTACACCTCCGGTCTGGAATACGGCCGGCTCTACGTCCGCGAAAACGCCACCCACCAGATCCGCAACATGAGCACCGACGACGTCCTCCCGGAGCAGCTCTCCGTCACCTCCCCCACCGACGTCGTCCTGCAGTCCTCGGCCAACGCCTTCCTCCAGGGCTTCTACCCGCCCTCCGGCACCGTCGAGGCCCTCGCCAACGGCTCCAGCGTCGAGGCGCCCCTCGGCGGATACCAGTACATCCCCGTCAACGCCGTCGCCACGGCCTCCACCAGCACGAACGCCGAGAGCAGCGAGTGGCTCCAGGGCGGCAGCGGCTGCGGTAAGGCCGTCGTCAGTTCAAACAACTACTTCTCCTCGCCCGAGTACGCCGCCGTCGACGCCGAGTCCCGCGACTTCTACCAGAGCCTGCTGCCCGTCATCAACGGCACGTTCGGCGCAAAGGCCGCCACCTTTGAGAACGCCTACTCCATCTTCGACCTCATCAACGTCGCCAGGATCCACAACGACAGCATCCCCTCCGACTCCCTCCTCACCAACGCCACCATCCGCTCGCTGACCGACTACGCCAACATCCACGAGTGGAACCTCGCCTACAACGAGAGCGACCCCATCCGCGCCGTCGCCGGCAAGGTGTTGGCCGGCCAGGTCCTCCAGGCCCTCAACGCGACGCTCAAGGACGCCGCAAAGTCCTCCTCCGTCAAGGCCAACATCCAGTTCGGCGCCTACGCCAGCTTCTCGTCCTTCTTCGGCCTCGCCCAGCTGCAAAAGGTCTCGGCCGACTTCCAGACCGTCGTCGACTACGCCTCGTCCATGGTCTTTGAGCTCGTCACCAACGCCACCTCCGCCAGCCCGGCCGCCGACGACGTCGCCGTCCGCTTCCGCTTCGCCAACGGCTCCGCCGGCATCAACAACCTCACCGTCTACCCGCTCTTCGGACAGTCCGAGACCGTCCTCCCCTGGAACACTTTCGTCACCCAGATGCGCCAGTTCGCCATCGAGGATACCAAGACCTGGTGCACCGCCTGCGGCAACTCCACCGGCACCTGCGCCACAGCCCTGGGTCTGGATGGCAGCACCGATGCCAACGGAACCGGCTCGAGCGGTAGCAAGGGAGGCGTCTCGACTCCCGTGGCGGGCGTCATCGGCGCGCTGGTGACGTTGGTTGTGATCCTGGGCATCCTCGGCCTCGTCATGCTCATCGGTGGCCTGCGTCTGGTCAAGAAGTCCAAGATCGCAAAGGATGTCCCTGCCGCTTCTACTGCGGAACAGACTGGTGGTGCCAAGCACTAAGCACGCAATGTAAGCAACCATTGTGTGCGACCAAGTGTCCACGATGGATTTGTGATCGATAATGAGACACGATGAATGTATCGTGAATAGTAGTCCCAAGCGGACATGAGCTACCTTAGTAATGAGATGTTGATACCACCCTTTTACTCAAGAGACTACCCGTATCCCTTGCCCTGTGATGAATATGCTCTGTGTAGAGGGGGAGACCCAAGGAACTCGTCCCATATCACAGTGTAATAGAGCGCCAGAACCTCCTCTGAGCCGGTGGCTTCGTCACCATTGTCACCGTTCCAAGCGACTGTGTTCTATCTATTGATGTTCTAAGGACTCGCAAATGCGAGAGGTGTTGTCGGTTGCCCGCTGCCGCCATCTGAGCTGCCCAAATCCTTCGAAGAAGACCCCTCCACCCCCAATGGGGCAGCCTACGCCCTTAAGTCTCTCAATTCGACCGTGTTTGGGTTGTCATCTCTGTCGGCTTCAGTCGGATCGGAGCTAGATAGTGTGGTTCCGCGCATCCTCCTATCGTTAGATCGAGCAGATCGCTCCCTGGTAATGTCTGGTGATGCGATGTCCGCGTCTCGAGTTTCTATCCCTTGGACGGAAGGGAAACCTCGACGTGAGCAGCAAGTGCGCTAGCTTGCTACCGATGTCTCGTTCATACCGTATATTACGGCGTCGGCAAGCCCCTGGATCACGATGCAAGCTTGGTCGACGTTTTGCAATGGGAAAGGTGCTGGCGTATTCGTACTTGCTTGGTATATCCGGATGGCGGTTGGGATAGTCCAGACGATGGCATACGCAAGCGGATACAAGAGTAACAGGCGAGCAATCTGGAGCACGGTCAGTCATTTCCTCTTCGCTGCCCTGGAGCATCACCTCTTCTTGCCCTTTTGAGCCTTCTGATGGAAACCATAGATCGGCCTTCCAGTCCTTCGTGAGTGCTTGCGGCCCTGCTCCCATCTTGTGTCGAGTAAACGGACTCTAGATGCCCGGGAGACTCCTGCATCGAACTTAACCTGTTCTGAGCTCTGAAAAGAACAAGGGCGAGGTATGCATATAGCGCAAACATGATGGTTATGATTATCCCTAAGGGCATGTTAGTCGTAGATCCCACGTCGCTTATATCGTGTGTGACTCACACCGAGGAACGAAGTTGGCGAGCAGCCTCGTTTTGTCTGACTTGAACCAACACCCTGCCCGCCTAGGTCAATGACACGAAAGTGCTCCGACTTGGTCGCGAATACTCACAAGCCCCAATGCTGTGGTAGCCATTTAAACCGAGGCCCACAGAGGCCCATAAGACCGAGAAGAACCACGGAAGTCCCCAAATGACGACTTCGTGGTTCTGCACCCAGCTGGCTCGCTTTCTTTGGCCAGTCAGGATGAAGAACGTGCAAATGGCGATGTTGAGGACCCAATAGTCGGTTTGTATGACGAATACCTGAGCCATAAAGCCATTGAGCTTACAAAAGTCGGTTTGTTCTGGATCATCGATAAGTCTGCCGCTAAGATTCATCGTTGTTGAGCAGATGAAGTTGAAAGCCATGAGAAAGTCACTGATCGCAAGTCCGATGATAAGGCGGTGACGGAAGGATCGCAGGTTCGGGAAGATCTGAAATGCTTGTCAGCTTTCTAGACATTGCTAGGTGATTTGAAGTGGGGGTTGACCCAGTAGCTGGTCATGATGAAGCCGGCACCACAAAGCGACAAAATTGATACAACAAGTATAACAACGCTCTCTATACGAACCTCCTCTGCGGTAGGAGGTTGGTCTAGTCCGCTTCCATTGCTTGTATTGTTCTGGAGAAACATGACGACATGTAGTTACTTGTGAATGCGCACCGCCGGAGCCCGTCTGCCTTGAAAATTGTCTCACAGGTGGTGAGATGGGATTTCTCTATTACTGATGCGGTCGAAGCTGGAGTCGTTGCGGCTGTACGTCAGGGCTGCTTTACGTTTGGCGATGATGTCTGGCTTTGCTCGTCTGACGACTTCATTTAGAATGTTGACTTGACGGTGTTCTAGCAATTTTGGCTTCCGGGCCGATGGTGAAAATGAAGATAACCATATCTTAGGATAGGAAACCCAGGCAAATGGCAGCTTCGACGGCGGAGGAAGTAGCCACTGAATTCCTCTAGCGATGGAAAGTGAGCTTATCGCCGCAATCTTACTGTTTGTGCCACCTTCCCTTGAGGTTCACACGGAAGGCTACATGGTGTCTATCGTGGGGGTCTCGGGGTCGGACGGCAGGTATCATCATTCGACATCGCAGAGATCTTGATTTTAGGGGCAGCGACGTCGGTATCACCACGAAACCCAGGCAGGTAGAGATTCGTTATCACGGATACAAGCATGAAAGAATCTGTGGCCGAGAAATCAAAGACGAGTAAAGAGAAGAAGAACAACAGGTGAGAGTTCTCATGCAAGCGTGTGTCATCCGGCGTGGTCTTGCATGACTTCATGTTCGCTATAATGGCGGCTGCCACTTGCCCAATAATTGAGAGAACAGACCTGGTGACTGACCATTAGCTCACAAGATGTCAAGTACTCGGGGGAGTGACATCTTCGGACACTTGCAGATGCGTTATCTAGCAGGGGCTCCAAGTGGTACTCGTCTATTGGCAGGAATGCTCAGTATCTAGGTAGGTATCCAAGGTACTCTCCATCGAGGCCATCCTTAAGAAGTACCCAGTACGTGTACTTGGGAGACATGTTGTCCCTTCTTCAAACGCGCCTTCAGAGGTAAGGATACTTGCACAGATGGGTAGGTGCTACGCAAAATCGGGAATACCTTCCTCCACTTACACACCTAGAGAAATTGTATTGTCCGCAAGTGTCGCATCAACAGTCGCCCCGCCGTTTCGTCATACCCAACTGCCGATATCTCACCTTAATTCAAGATCAGTCGAGGCCAACAGTCCACCAACGTGTCCGTCTCAAAGCCGGATATTCCCATCGCTGCACAACACCCGCTACCTAGGTGCTTCCAGGGTTCGATCTTGGTTAGTCTAACGGTCGTACTATTTACATGGATAAAGTCCTAGCGGCGTGGACCCTACATCGGCTGCCCATTTCTCCTGAACATCTCGTCTCGGAAATTTGGACACCGACTCGATTATTCTGAACACCTCTTTTCGTCTCGACTTGGACGATCAAGGACATCTCCGGCTGGGCGTAGGCCTTCACCAGCTGAATCTAGAGCTCTTTGGGAATATTCATAGAAGTTTTTAGGCTGTTTTCTGGATCCCGATGACTGAGCCCCGACCCTATGTCAAAGCGATGCAATCTCCCACTCCCACTAGTGCCGCTCCGCTCCATCGATCGGCAGTCGAGAACCTGAGATTTGACAGCAGACTTGTCATGTTGCATGTCTGTCACCAATGTCGGCCGCCAGTGTAGCAAAGCGGAGGTTTACTAACTCTGACATTTACTCTGGGTCCGATGTGGCACCCAGTACCCTGGTTCTGGGTAAGGGGTTTGCTGACCATTCACCAGTGAAGAAAAATACAACCGTTTTCTTTGATCCTCGACACAGCAGCCCCCTCCAGGCTCCGACCCCGTCTAATTAAGGTCCGAAGCCCGGAGCAGCGGCTCCTTAGCACATCCTGGGACCTGGATAGCGGTGGGCGGCCGGTCCTTGGAGAGCACGTTGCGAAACCGAACGTGCGCCGGCCGACCCAGAAACCCGAGGAGGTCGGCTTGTTGACTTCCTGAGTTCCTGATGGTTCTTTGCCCCTTGAGCCGTTGCCGAAAGTTTGCGGGGGAGGCTGTCGGCATGGTGCCATCGGCCGACCTTCACCACGATCCCGGCTACTAATTCTGGAAGAAGAAATCGTAACCATCCGGCGCAAACATCCCGACCCGACATCATTCGGCTGACTCGCTAGCATCATACGAGCAAGTGTCCTACCGCAGCCTCCACTACACCGTTTTGACAGGTGCGAACCGTCGTGATCGGCTCAGTGCCAGGACGAGGGGATGACGAGGCGGCGGAGACATCTAGGACCAGGCCGGCAGCTTACCCCGGCATCGAGTCTCCACGGCAAATTGAGATTAATGGGGGAACGACGTCGCCCTCAAATCACTTCTTAGGTTTTTTCCCCGCTAGAAGGGCCAAAGCGGACGACAAGGGTTCTTCCAAAGGCAAAACGGCAGAAATGGCCAGATGGCAGAGGAAGGTTTCGGGGGACAAGGACGGGGTGTTTGCTGAACTTCTTGGTCCGCTCAACACGGCTGGTGCGACAGCAACATACGATATCCCACTGGGTTAAACGACTAGGAACCCCGACATGGAATCGGCACCCTCCGTCGGCCATTGTCCTCGGGGTAAACGGAAACCTTCGCAACGTGTCGCCGGGGTGGTTGCCAGCAACGGGTCCGGAGAGCCGGGTCGATCAAATGCAAGCCCAGGGGCGCCCATGGACAGTTGTGTAGGGCAGCAGCATTAGACCACTATACCGTATCGGCAATGCGACGTCGCTTGCGGACCCGGAGACGGCGCCGTTTTGGGACTTTGCTTCCCATCACAAATGCTAGCGGCCGCCCTTTCGGTCCCGAGACCACGGACCGGCCCAGAACATACTGAACATAGCCCACCAGACGCGACATTGTTTGAATAACCGGTTTGGACAATGTGTTGTTCTATGTATTCAAACTCGTACCTGGAGGGTCATGAGCAGGGTCGAGGCTTGAACAAGAGATTGGCATGGAGCTCCAGATGCCACATTCGGCGCAAATACTGCCCGTGAGGGCTCACGTAGCGTGCCTCTTCAGGTCTCTCTGTTGAACTTAGACCCAGTACGACCCGCTGCCGTCCACAATTGAGCCCCCGTCCGTTGAACCTCGAAGCCGACGTCACGATGCATGCTTCTCAGACTTGAGGCACGAGTCGGTGTCCTTGATCGACATCTAGCACTAACAGAGACTTTCTCGTACGACTCAGTGCGACGTATCGTATTATATCTCTTTGCGGAACTGATCGACTTTGGAGGAGCTTTACAGCCGTGTAGAATTTCAGCGACTTCCTGAGAATTGACCAAGTCTAGAAGCCTCACGGCGGAACAAACATAATGTCACAGTCAAGCTGGATGACAGGCTGAGTCACCTGCGTAGTTGATCTGCAAAACGGCGCCCGCGAAGGGTCTGGACTTGCTATGAGAAAGACGAGATACCAAGAAGTCGTTCTTCTCGAAGTATGAACTATGGCGCCTAAAGCTGGCTGAGAGTGCCCGCTGCGAGCGAGCGAGCTCAAGATGGGGTTGAGGAGTTTCTTACTGGTTAGTGAAGTTACGTTGAGTTGCTCACTTCGCATAGTATTGAAGCACAGAACCTCATGCCTTAAAACGCCTCCTCGACACGACCGTGTGCAATATCTCCACACCGGAATGGACACATCGCCAGCTGATTGAGCTTCCTGCATGCACACAGTCTCGCATTACCTCAAGCCATGGTGCTGAGACCATTGCGATCCTACCACGGACAACGTAAATAAGGCTCCGACACTATCACAAGAGCAGACCGGAGTGGAGGGCGGAGCCCATGTAGCAGTCGAGGGAGCACCCGTACGACACGAAGCTTAGCGAGTAATCCTCCTTTTGTGTGTATCAAAGCGTCTGACTGCATGAGGAATCACAGATACTATGGGACATAGACACCCAGTCAAGGAGGGCGCGGTAGCCGTCTCCACTCGGGGGGGCTGCAAGCCATCAACGACACGTACATGGATGCTGACACCACTCTGTCTGTCGCCTTATCGTCCGCGGGAGCTATGGGACACGATCGCCGAGCTATATCTACGTGTTCAGAGAACTCCGCGAATCATCGCTTGCTTCATGGGAGCATGGGAGAGGTTGAGCTGGGGCCAGAGATGATCCATAGCTTCTGCAACCCAGTCCGCCTGCAAAAACATGGCATCTATTGGCACTCGTGCCGCCCACGAAGATCCACGAAAGACAACGGATGAGGGGTTATAGAGCCAACAAAGTGTAAAAGTGGGAAGCGAGGGGGTGCTCAAAACAGGCCAGAAACATGGGGACCAGGCAGGGCAACAGCGGCTCGCATGAAGCAAAAAAGAAAAGAAGAAACCATTGTTTGTGGAGAGGGTATATCGCGGCTCTGCTATACACCCTTAGCTTTTTTTTTTTTTTTTTTTTCGTGCGGCGGGCGCGCGCGCGGATGCCTGCGTCGCTTCTTTTACCCTCGAACCCGCCGCAGCCCGGCGCCCGGTCCGCACCGGGCGATGCGATGAGGGAACAACGACTGTAGGTATTTGGCATTTCAGCTCAGCAAGTATGGCGTAGCTCGCAGGATCTCGTGACGAACCCCCTCCATGCTCCAGCCAACGAACGCATCCTACACCGGTAGCGGCCCGTGTGAGTGTGTGTATAGTACGCAATAGCGCTGTCAAATAAGTCAGCTTCACTCTGTGTCGGCCAAGGAGGGTGGGAACTTTGGTTTTGTGCGCATTGGAATGATGACCAAATATGTGGTGATCAGCTATGCTGTTGTGAAGGAGGAGGCGGCGCGTGGCTATTACGTTGATACTTCAATAGTTGACGGTATCGCACGATAGGAAGGGAAATATTCGACTAGGACGAGATGAGGTTGTGACACATGCTTGGTTACCACAAACTGTGGTACCATTGGTTTTCTCTTCATTCCATGCTTCATGTAGCAGCATTGTGTACAGACAGTATTCTCTACCATCAACTTCGATCTTCTCTGCACCATCCGTCATCCACTTTGTTTCTCCCAAACACTTCTTCCCAATATTTGTGCGCCAGTTCCCAATGCCCAGAGAAGGGGGGGAAAGA